AATTAATTCAACCATTGTGGAAGACAGTGTGGCGATTCCTCAAGGACCTAAAAATAGAAATCCCATTTGACCCAGCAATCCCATTACTGGGTATATATCCAAAGGATTATAAATCATTCTACTACAAGGACACGTGCACACGAATGTTCATTGCAGCACTCTTTACAGTAGCAAAGACCTGGAACCAACCCAAATGCCCAACGATGATAGACTGGATAGGGAAAATGTGGTACATATACACCATGGAATATTATGCAGCCATCAAAAACGATGAGTTCACGTCCTTTGTAGGGACATGAACCTGGAAACCATCATTCTCAGCAAACTGACACAAGAGCAGAAAATCAAACACCGTATATTCTCGCTCATAGGCGGGTGTTGAACAATGAGAACACATGGACACAGGGAGGGGAGCACTACACACTGGGATCCGTTGGGGGGAAATGGGAGAGGGGCGGGGGGGTGGGTAGGTGGGAAGAGATAGCATGGGGAGAAATGACAGATACAGGTGAGGGGACGGAAGGAAGCAAAGCACACTGCCATGTGTGTACATATGCAACAATCTTGCATGTTCATCACATGTACCCCAAAACCTAAAATGCAATAAGAAAAAAAAAGTTAAAAAAATAAATAAATAATAAAGCCAAAAAATAATAATAATAATAAATAAATAAAAAAATCCCACCAATAAAAATGCTTCTAAAAGAAATGTTCTAATTATATATATAGGTTTGCTAGATTTGGCTATCAATCTAGGTCAAAGTTCACCCCTGGATTTTGCTGTTGTCATAATGTTTTCAGTACATGGTATAAATGAAAAAGGTCTATAAAAAATTGAAACCACACTTGATTAGAGTCAAGGTCTAAAAAAAAAAAATTACAGTGAACTTGGTGAAGACCCAAGTTCAAGATGCATTAACAGCCATGAGCTCTTTGAATTGTGACTCAATAGAGTTTGGACATGAAAACTATTACAATTCCATCTCTACCTGTACTTTCACCTTCTAGGCAAGTGAAATCAACGTTAACCCGTCAACATTAATGAAAGTCTCCAAGAAAGATCAAGTTGGGCATGAATTTAAGGCTACTTTCATAACTTCTCAAGTGGGTCTTTATCCTATCTCAAATAGATAACATCTCACACATATTTTAAACTCTACCCTTTGAAGCCAAAACATTAAACTGAGTTCATGTGATTTAGGAAAAAAGGAAGGTGAGGGAAGACTTTGCCTTTGGACAGGTTCAGAATCCAAAGGAAAGGGAAGAGTTGGCAAGTATATGGTCTGTTCTAAGAACCATTGATTCAGGGCACAAAATAGATTTCTCTTTATCCTGAATTTATCTGGTTCAGATGTTAGCAATATTAACTGGAGAAAGACCATTTTCTAAATTTCTTTTGAGGCTGCAGGGAACCCACTTACATCCCCAAGGAAGCAAATAAAGGTGTTCTTGTTTCCATTTGAGTGGTTTCACATTCTTAAATGACTTAATTATAAAAATAATAGCTTCTTATTATGAAAATGAAAACAGTTATAATGCCAGAGATACTGCTTAGCAGTTTGGCACCCGTTCCAATCTTTTAATCCCTGCATAATTTTCCATGTAGCCGATGCCACTCTACACATGCAGTGTAGCATCTGGCTCGTTGAGCTACAATGTGATCATGTTCTAAGTGTTATTAAAGACTTCATAAATTAAACTCTAAAGGTTACCTAATGATTCACTTCAGGAGTATGCCATAACTTAATAAACCAAATTTTGTGGACATTTAGAATGCTTCTAGGCTTACTTATAAATAATACTTTTATAAACATTATTGGCCATTAAGCTTTTTCTGAAGTCGGCTATCCAGATTAGTTAGGTGTAGTGGTGCATGCCTGTGATCACAGCTACTCAGGAGGCTGAGGTGGGAGGATTGCTTGGGCCTAGGAGGTTAACGCTGCAGTGAACTGTGATCACGTCACTCTGGTCTAGGCAACAGAGAGCCTGTCTCAAAAAAATAATAATAAATGATATAAAGGGTATGCTTGGAAGTAAGAATTCCAGGACAAAGGATATAGAAATTTCTAAGGTCTTAACATATATTGTTTCAATCCCCATTCCTAATTATTAGTGCTATCAGCAGTATATGAAAGTTTCTCCCTTATAACACCTTCATAATTAATGTTTATTTTCTAATCTCAATTATATTGATAACAATAGGACATCTCACATATTTACTTTTTTTATTACTTGTGAGATTGGAAAGCCTTTATATACTGTTTACTACCATTTGCATTTCCTTTTATTATGAAATATCTATGTTCCTTTGCCCATTTATCTTCAGGAACCTATTATTTTCTAAATGGATTATAGATACTCTATATATTAAGTATATGAACACATTGCCATATTTGTTGCAAGTATTTTTCAAGTTATCTTCTCTTAACTTTGAAGTAACTAAATTTATAGCTTTTTTCCTTGTCTCATTTGTTGCTTCTAAATTTAGTCTCATCAAGACATTTGACACATATATTTCCTTGTAAAACTCTTAAACATTTATGCTTTAATTCGTAAGAACTGCTCCCTCCACTAATCAATTTTCCCAGCACTGTATGCAGAAAAGTTATTTCTTTTCCCACTGATAGTTTTTATTTTTTTTTTTTGACAACTTTACGTTGTCATACTTCTAGGTTAAGATAATGGCCTCTTAAAAATACCTGATTGTCCACACTGTATCCAAACTCTTGCTGCATAATCTTGCAGTTACTTCCACCAAAGATGGATGGACTGTATTTTCCCATCCCAGCTTTGGGCTCAACCATGTGATTTGCTTTGATCAATGGCATCATGAACAGAAGTGATGCTGTGCTGGTCCTTAGCTAGGCCTTAGCGATATTGTGTGTTTCCACTTGCCCACTTGAGCCTCTGTGGTCACAAGACAGCTGCTTTCTCCTTCAGCCCGGACCCCAAAAGAAACACACATGGAACAGGGTTGCCCCAGCTTACCCTGCAGATGTATGGTTCAATGGAAGTTGCCAACCCTGCTACTGCCGTGCAAACCAGAGCTGCCCAATTGTGGTCACCTAGGTCATCTGACCTCCCAAACAGCTTACAGACATGTAAGAAATAAATTCTTATTGTTGACTGCTGCTGAGAGTCTGGAGTTATGTGTTACACTGCAATAGCTGATTTTTTTACACCTATCTCTACATTGAAATCTTCATGGTTTTGGCTGGTATCAATTCTGTCTTTTGGAGAAAAGGGCAAATGGTAGTTTCTTCTGACTTCATTCCCATCTGTCGATTGCTATTTTGATCCAAAGGGCAAAAATGACTAGATCCTTTTTTTTTTCAAGTTTAACTTCATCAGGTACTCTTACAGGCCCTATCAAATCACTAAGTGCTTCTCTTAGATTCTACTATTTTCTATACCTTTTTGTATATCTTACAAAAGACTGGTGCTATATAACAATGTTTAATATCCTGATGCCATTTTAACCCAAAGACTCACTCTCAACACCTCCAACTTAAAGCAAAGGCTTTTAGAGAGTGAGATTTAGAGATAAAAGCTCACTAAAATAAACTGAGTCAGGAAAATTGACCATTACTACTTAACTCCTAACTTCACAAAACTTCGTCATCTCTTCAATGGGCTAGGATTACAAATGCTACATATACTTTGCTTAAGAAGTATTTAAAGTTTGTTAAGAGGTCAGGCCTAAGTTGCTAGTTCACAACTATACAGTCACATGTTCAATTCTCTTCTTTGTAAAATGTTTTCTTTACTAAGATCTTCTTTCTTTTTTTCTTTTTTTTAAACATAGCGTCTTGCTCTGTCACCCAACTGGTGTGCACAGCTTAACCTCCTAGGCTCATGTGATCCTCAGGTGATCCTCAGGTGATCCTCCTGCCTCAGCCTCCTAAGTAGCTGGGACCGCAGGCACACACCACCACATGTGGCTAATTTTTAAAAAGTTTTTTGTAAAGACAAGGTCTCCCTATGTTGGCCAGGGTGGTATCAAACTCCTAGACTCAAGCAATCCTCCTGCCTCAGCCTTCTACAGTGCTGGAATTACAGGCACGAGCCACTGTACATGGCCAATGAAGACATTTTAATAGACATACGTTTGGATGCCAAGGATGTGGGGATGAATTTAAAACAACAAAAACACAAAAAATACCTATCCTCAGAGTTGTTTAGTTTTTTCCTCACCTAAAGATGTTGTAGACCATTAGGTATCTCTATTTAGCTCACCAAGACTCTTAACTGAAGAACAATTTCAAGGTCGCCCAGTTTAGTATATTAAGTGTCTATTTATCTGCTCAGCTCTTGTATTCAGGAGCTGAGAGTCTACTTACCAAGGCCACTCAAGTAACAACTTCCCTTCAAAATCTACAGGCCCACTCAGGACACTAAAATCTTCTGGCAAACGGAAGAACGGGGAGCTTAGTAGGCTGGAAAGTGAAGGATTCCTAACAAGATTTAAGCTGGCCTTAAGGACAGGTAGGACTTGGCAGGAAGAGAGGAGAGGATATCCCAAACAAAAGAAGAAACAAAGAGAAAGAAAGGGATAGGCATTATGAAATCAACGTGGAGAGGTAGAGATCGACAGATATGCAACAGTTACTTGGGATCAAAAAAGAAATAAGGTTCCAGTGGATGAAAAGGAATAAGATTTCAGTGGATGAAAAAACTCAAACATATACCTGCACTGATACATACTTGTGTTCACGAGCTCTCAGGGCAGAACTTTATGTGTGTGTGTTTTCACCCAGACTTCAAGCCAGATTCAAATGCAGGCTGCTCCCACCCAAGAAGTCAAAACAACTTTTTAAAAAATCTACCCATTCTTCCCCCTACAACATCTTTACTGCAAAATCTATATGAAGTTTTGAGTTTTTCAGAAGACATCTTTTAAAGATTTTCTTTTACTTAACTACATATACATATTTTAAAAAGATTTGTATTCAAAGATTTTGCACAAAGCAGAACACTCAGGTATCATTTTAATCTCTTACCTTCTGTTGAAATCAACCTGGATGGAATGATCTATTACGAGATCAACAGGACAGACAGGGTTTATTTTCTCTGGATCTCCTCCTAACTTTTTCACAGCATCACGCATTGCAGCGAAGTCAACTACAGCGGGCACACCTCTAAGAGAAGAAAGAGAATAATGCAGAAAACAAGCCTTAAATGCACACATATTTAACTGGATTTTTCAGCTTTTGCCTCCATTGGTAATACTGACAAGGTCCTACCTCATCAGAGGACCTAACAGTGGGTGAGACGTAGAAAAGCGAAAGTTTCTAAGTATATTTCTTTGGGCAGAAATCACATAGGTGGTAAGTACCATGACTGGGTGGTATCTCTATGTACAATGTTATCACTGTATTAAATTTAATAACAGCTACGGTCTAAATAGAGCAACGATGGGAACCCTGGCATTAACAACTCTGGAACTCTAATTGCTGTGAGTGCTTCCCATTCACATGGTGGCTTGACAGAGACCTGGAGAAGACATTCAGATCACACCTTCAACTTTGACCAGATGTAAAGGAATGGATATAATTTGGAAAAGGTGGCTGTGAATCTAATTCCTGTTAAATGAATCTTTCCCTCTTTTTAGCTTAAAAGTGTAACATTTTGGTGACTTCCTCTAGAAAAATGAAACTGGGTCTCTAGAAGGAATAAAATAACATCACTTAAAAATGGAAATATAGTATCTCAAAGATGCTGCAATGGGGAGTGAGGATTTCTAAAAACAGCAGAGTGAGAACTAAGGCTTAACAGTAACGGTCAAGACTTGTGATGTGAGCTACAACATATCCCCTCGGCAGACAGCACATCAGTGTTTCAAGTACAAGTGTTTGATACCTAGTTTCCTGGGCAATAAAATGTGGGAGAGAAAAGATACCAAGATCACTCTATTCCACACTATTTCTTTGACCTTTCCTAGGAAACTCACGATTAGGATCTTTAGGAGTAAGGATAATGACCCTTCCCATTAGAAAAGGTGGGTGTCTCAGTTTGCCTGAGACAATCCTGGTTTCCTCTTGCTGCTGGAGGCAATAGCCCCCTTAGCTTTCAAAAGTGTCTGGCTATGGGTATATGGGTTATAAATTATATAGTCATTATAGAGTGTTTTAGTTTGTTTGTTTAAAAGAAAACTCTCTTGAAAGGCTAACAAGGGAGGCAGAGAAAAGCAAAGCAAAGTGACATTAGGCTCACGTAAAGTCCTGCAGGATGACACGAGCAGGCTTAAATGGCACTTCTATGTTCTTATGCTGCATGACATTCCAATGAAGAATATTTTCAATATCCTGTTTCTTCACCAGAAACTCATCACAGTTCCGAATGGCTGCTTCCAAAAGAACTCTGATGGAAAATGGTAAGCGCCCTAGGAGTTAAGGAGAAAGCATGACAAAATAAACAAAACCCATGAGAAATCTTAAGTACACTCTTTAAGGACAATCTCTAACAGGTGACAGCAGGCATCAGACTATTCTTCCACAAGGAAAGAGGGTAAAGTGACCAACAGTTTAAAATACAGGGATAATTAATTGGTTTAAGAGATATTCAGGGTTGGGTGCTGCGGCTCACGCCTGTAATTCCGACACTTTGGGAGGCTGAGGTGGGCAGACCATGAGGTCAAGAGATTGACTGAGACCATCCTGACTCAAGTGATCCTCCCACCTCAGCCTCCTAAGTACCTGGGACTATAGGTGAGCACCACCATGCCCAGCTAATTTTTTTGTATTTCTTGTAGAGACAGGGTTTTGCTATGTTGCCCAGGCTAGTCTTGAACTCCTGGACTCAAGGGATCACCTGCTTTAGCCTCCCAGAGTTCAGGGATTACAGGCATAAGCCACCATGCCCAGCCTATGTTAAGTGTTAATAACATATATTTACACATGTATATATAAACACATGGAGTAATAGTTCTTATGAAAACCAATGCTCAAGAAATGAGAAAAGAATTCCTTTACAATTATTGTAATTAAGACCAAAGTATATGTACATAAATATTTCAAAGGAAACAAAACCCTAAACACTATGCTGCATGGCCAGTGGTAACTGGAGGTCCTAAAATAAAACACTATTAATTCACAAGAAAAATTATTTATAAAATTTTCATTTTGATACATAAAAATTACTAAGCAATACTATCTGGAGATGTTATCTGGAAAAGACAGTGCAAAGGTAGAAAAAGGATGAAATTTGGAATTTAAAAGACTCGTGTTTTTGTCCTTCTTGTCTACCACCCACACCCTTGTGATCTGACCATGTGTCACTGACTCTTGGGCCTTAGCTTCTTCAAGACCTCTTAAACTTTATAAACATGACCCCATAGGGTTGTTATTCAGATTAAATATGATATAAATGTATACTCTATAAAGTGTTACATAAATGTTAAATGTATGTAATCATTATTACCTACTTAAAAATGACTACTGTAGTAAAGGTATGTGTGTGCTTGTGCACTTAATGCAAGAATATTCACCCTTTCTCTACTACCCCCTCTTCAAACTCTCCTAAAGGATAATTAATTACATAGCTTAATCTCTGTGCAAATGAGATTCCAATTGCTATCCGAGCCATGTACCTACCGTATTTTGAATCCTCCAATTTATTCAAATTGAAGAATTTCTTTCCTGGCTCTACAGGATCCAATGGCTCAGCAAGGTGTGCAAATGGGTTGCTCATGATTACTGATGGCCACGTGTCTCTGAAAAGAGAATATTTAAATTCTTCTTTTGAAGCTGGACCTCATTTATTCTGACAAGCATTTACCCTTTTCAACAATTTCAGTACACATTCACTTAAAGAAATCACTTATCTTTTCAAAGTAGGAGGATGGTGGGGAGGTAAATGAATACAAGAGTGATATTCTTAGCAAGTAAATGGGCTTGTGTAAAGTTACTGTGAAAACCAGCCTTCACCTCTTGAGAGCATAAAACCCCAAACTTCTTTTGTCTTAATTCTACAACTTTCCAACATTCTTTCACTGGCAGGAAAAAGTAAAATGAAGGATACATCTCATGGTAAATCTTGAATATGTGAACAGACCTCTAAGCTGGTCTTGTGTCCTGCTTGGCAAGAGGTCCCATAGCAGGTGACATTATGCAATTGCATAAAACTTGAACTTTGGAAGTGGGGAGTTAAGAGCAGTTGTTTTCCGGTACTGTCCTATGAACTTCCTGTTGTAACAATCTCTGCAGCATTTTGAATATACTTGAATGCCATAGTTAGAAGTCTTCCCGATTCATTTTTGCAGATGGTGGCAACAGTGTATTGACATCAGGGAATGTTTAAAGCAGGGGTGCCCAAGACCCAGGCGGCAGACCCGTATTAGTCCGTGGCCTGGTAGGAGCCAGGCCACACAGCAGGAGGTGAGCGTGGGTGGGTGAGCCAGCATTAAGGCCTAAGCTCACCTCCCATCAGATCAGCAGTGGCATTAGATTCTCACAGGAGCGAAAACCCAATTGTGAACTGTGCTTGCGAATCTAACTAATGTCCGACAATCTGAGATGAGGTGGAACAGAAGTTTCATCCTGAAACCATCCCCTATGCCCAATCCATAGAAAAATTATCTTCTATGAAACCGGTCCCTGGTGCCAAAAAGTTGGGGAGTGCCGGTTTAAAGAACACTCTGATGGCATAAAGGCCCTAAATGCCCAGATGTGTTTGGAGGGAGACCCTTTGCCCCAGCTCTGGACAGTACCTCTTATGTATCTTTTTATAAGCAAGGGAAGATGCCATTCTTTTCACCACATGGAAAAATGGTTATTTCAGACCATTTAACTGTACATCTTAGAGCAAAACACACTGGGGAGGGAGGCAGAAGGCTTGCTTTCTGGTCCTACCTCTAGGGCAAAAAATTCCTTTATCAATTGATTCCTTAATATTCTTAATTTTAGGATATATTAGAATAGCTAACATTTCTCTGTTTAATCCCAGGGATTTTATAAGTAAATATTATTTAAATATTCAACACATTTATGAAATGACCAATATAGAATAATTTATTACTGTAAAATGAAAAAAAACACCAAGTATAAAGGAAAGGACTGTTTGTGGGGATAAAATGTTAGAAGTGTGCTTTGTCTCTAAAGACAGGCCCCTATCCTCACAGGACACAAAAGGGACTGGACTTTTTTAAGAGGCCAGGGACCTAGAAATCAGGACTGAGAGAAAGACTTAGTTTTTACCATATTTCTTTTAGTATTGTTTGCATATTTAACTATGTACACACTTAACTTAAAAAAAAAAGTTAAAAATTTAAAAGAAATAGACATTTGCATGTCTCCTCTCTCCAGAGTCTGGTAGGTACTAGGTAGTTTGGGGGAACAGCAGTTGATTGAGAAGCAGCCTGTGTCTTCCTGGACTGCCAGCGCAGGTGACAAGACATGTCACAAGTACTGCTAATGGGCACAAGACACGGAAGAGGAGACAGCTGCGTTGTTTGCCCAGTGTCTCTTTCCTGGGAACTGCTTCTCTTGCCTAGTCTCACATGCTGTATGCAGCAGCTGCCATTTGGTGGGAGAGACAAAAGGTGTCTGACCCAATCTGGCCCAATCAACTTCCTTCTCTGGGAATTCTGGAACTGAAACTAAAGAATGGGCAGCCAAGGCTGCGGGAACATACCATAACTGTGTTTATAAAAGTATGTAACCCTAGGCCATCTGCATTAAATTATCCAGGGATCTTTCTTGTTAAAAATATAGATATTCTCAGTATCCCCTTCCCATCCATTGAATTTCTTCAAGCTTCCAGGTGATTCCAACACACGTTCAGTTTGAGAATCATTGCTGGGCACTGTGGAGTCCCACCAGGTGAGGCACTTAACAATTAATTCAGGAAGCAGAGAGACAGCACAGAAGATATGGAAAAAGGGAGGGCGAGTTCTAAAACGGGAGTCACAATCAAAATGCCTCCAGGGCTCAGAAAGAGACCTGTGCACGTGAAGCAGGCAGCACAGGGACTAAGAGGCCCAAGTGATCTGTGCAGATGCCATGTGGCTCCAGCAGAGAGGGCATGAAGAAATGCCTGCCCAGTGTTGAGAGATCATCTAATTTTCCAAGTGAGACTGGTAATCTAGATTTTTATATGAACCCTTGGTTTATAAAAGTTGGCAATTAATTTTTTCTAAACTGTGTGGGTCTGTGGCATGATGGCAAAACCAAACACACCTGTGGATCCTATTCAACCAGAGATGTCAAGTAACCAGTTGGGCAAGTGCATGGCAGAAACTGAAATGGAAAAAGGGGGTGGATGGATTAAAAGCTGAAGAGGCAAAATTTAGAGAAAATGGCTGTTGGGTGGATGGGGGAAAATCTATGGGGAAAAGAAGTAAGGCTTAACTCCAGGTATGGAGGAGTGAAGGTTGTTAGGATTGCTTCGGGAGGGAAGATGGTGGCTTTAGTTTTTGAGGTAAGAGTGCATATAAGGTAAAGTGCCACACAAATGCAAGAGATTCAACAAGCAGCCAATCAGTAGCGGGGCGGGGAGGGGGAACCCTATAAATACTGTTTCATAAGAAACCTGCTAGCTTGTCCACAAAAGTTTACAAATCTGTGGGCTCAGAAAATGAAACTAATTCCACTGGCTGAAATTCTGAAGATACATATTTAAAAAGGCAACAGTGCTACTCTGATTTGTCACCCATGCTATACTCCCCAGACTTACCTTTTCCACCCCAAAACAGTAGCAACTGCAACAATAAACTGTTTTGCCTGCCTGGAAAAACAGAAGAGCATCTCCACAGAGGCTGCGCTATGTCTCAGAGTCTCTGCAGGCAGGAAAAGTGGTGAGAAACTCTCATGGGACTGAGCAAGATGGGTCATTCACCTCTTTAAATAGCCTTAAGTGTCTGAATCATCCCTATCTTGGTGTCAAGTCCTAAAGGACTTGGACAGATACCCCAAGTCTGCCAAAATTTTTGGATTAAACCAGCTGTTAATTTGTACCCATATCTGCCATTATGCAGCGGGGACCAAATGTGTCAATTTACTTCCTTGTAGCTACAAATGTCTGGGGCATAACACAAGAAGCCTCACATGATTCCTGCTACTCCCACTACCCTACAAAGTCAGTCGGTATTTTAGGATGGATATAGTGACCAATATGGTGGCTCTTGAAGGAAATGGCTTGTTTTAAAGTGCACTATCATTGCCTCCCTTTTTTCTTGGAAGCTAGATAACTGTTTAGTTTCACTATACTAAGAAAGCAAATTCTCTCTGCAGAAGGGAAGAACCAGTTAGTTATACTAGCACATGCCAAGTGCTTTGCACCATCTTCTCTACCTGGCAACACCTTCATAAATGAAATTATAAAATTATTCTCATTTTACAGATGAGGATACTGTAGTTCAGAAGGGTGAAAAACCTTACCTAATGGCATATATCTAGTTAGAGTCAGAGCTAGGTTTCGAACCCTGGCACTTTCTGCCACCCTGCACCACCCCTCTAGGTGCAGCCATATCTGCTCTGACGATGCTGCTGTTGGAGGTCACCCACCAGCCCCTAAAGCTGGGAGAGTCATGGGAAATCCTCTTACAAGACTCAGCTTTGAATGCTGGGGTTGCCTTTACTTCTTTCCAGGGAGCCCCTAGGAACCAGGTCTGAGCCAGGGACTGTCACCTGTCCTCTGCCACTTTGTGCTGAGACACAGGTCAGTAGAAAGTAACAGCAGCTACATTTGGGCAACCAAAGACTAGTTTTGTCTGGAAAACGGGCCCTCCATACAAGTCTAGAGGACTCTGGAATTTTGATCCATTTCAAGGTTCAAGGATACCCACACTATCACTCTTGTCTCAAACCTCCTGGTTTGGTAACTCCCAAGAGAAAGCCAAAAACAACTATGTTTCAAAGAGTGTGAGAAGAAAGATCTCTGGCTGAGTAATGGGTCCAGATCCAGAGAAGAATATAGGCATGATATCTCAGAAAAATATAGGTCTGTCTTTCCCTAGACAGACACTCAAGCCATCCTGAATCCTTATCACTGGTCCTTCAGGCTCCAAAAATACCCTCAAGATCTGGGGTTTTATCTAGAAACCCCACCATTGGTCAGGAAGCCCTCCCCATGTCCCACATCCACATAAAGCGCAGGTCCCACGGTTTCGGTTCCTTTCCTATCTCCCACCCTCTCCTCCTGCTGCTTTGGTCTTGGTTCTTTTGTTTTCTCTGATCTTCATTCAACAATGAAAGATAGGAATGAACAAACAAGAGAGCAAATGTGGATTTTTTTGGAGGTGGTGGAGTATCTAAATTATCTTAGAGTTTTTTTTTTTTTTGGAAGAGGGAAGAGTTAGCATACGTCACACTACTTGGCGCTGCTGCTTTCTTTGTTCTATAGAATGAGATGATACTGCATAGTGGCAAGAAGAAAAAAGAGGAGAAGAAAAAATGAAAAAGGAAAGGAATGAATGGGAAATGGTATCTTTTAAAGTATACAGTGGGAGCAGTTAATCAGAACTTGTCCCTCCGGGTCGCCTGTCAGAATGCTGAGGAAGGCTGAACACTCGTCCTTGGCCACTGAATCAAGTAAGACAGACGAACAGTTCTTACACAAAAAGTATAAAAAAAGAGATACTGTATCTGAAATCCTTTACTACATGTAGTTCACATTCTGAAAGTCAAGATAATTATTTGGTAGAGAAACTGTCTTTCAAAGCTAACCCATCCTGAAATACCAGCTGGGTGACTTGTACAGGGTTATGACTATGCA